GGTAGAATTGTGGCTTAAAATACAACAAGAAAACAATGTCCTCCTGGTAGAATAGTGGCTTAAAATACATCAAGAAAACAATGTCTCCTGGTAGAATTGTGGCTTAAAATACAACAGAAAGCGATGTCCACCTGGTAGAATTGTGGCTTGAAATACATCAAGAAAACAATGTCCTCCTGGTAGAATTGTGGTATAAAATACAACAAGAAAACAATGTCCTCCTGGCAGAATTGTGGCTTGAAATACAACAAGAAAACAATGTCCTCCTGGTAGAATTGTGGCTTAAAATACATCAAGAAAACAGTGTCCTCCTGGTAGAATTGTGGCTTGAAATACAACAAGAAAGCAATGTCCACCTGGTAGAATTGTGGTATAAAATACAACAAGAAAACAATGTCCTCCTAGTAGAATTGTGGCTTAAAATACAACAAGAAAACAATGTCCTCCTGGTAGAATTGTGGCTTGAAATACATCAAGAAAACAATGTCCTCCTAGTAGTATTGTGGCTTAAAATACAACAAGAAAACAATGTCCTCCTGGTAGTATTGTGGCTTAAAATACAACAAGAAAACAGTGTCCTCCTGGTAGAATTGTGGCTTAAAATACATCAAGAAAACAATGTCCTCCTGGTGAAATTGTCGCATGAAAATACATGAAGAAAACAAGATCATTTGGCTAGAAAGAACGAATAGTTAACCATCACTTCTTGTTTTTTACTCTCCATATCTATTTTCTATTAATAATTTATTCTTTTTAATTTATGGTTTCGTTTTTCTGCTGTTCACGTGGTCCTTCAACTAGTGACCTCATGCAAGAAAGGCCATGGCCAAAACGAAGAAAGAGAACCGACCTCAGACGTTATGTTGCCAGAAAACTGGAAAAATAAATAAGTAAAAAAAAACAAAAAATGGGGGTGGGGAAGAATATACTTGTTTGACGAATTGTGAATATACTGCGGTTGTTGGTATTAGGTTTGAAGTATTCCGCAGCACGTGAATACAAGGAATAGGGGATGATGTTAGATTAGTTTTTTTGTGAGGGTACTTCCTTGTAGAAAGTTCACAGAAAACGATAAATAACAGTTTTTTTCTTGTTTATATTTTTATCGACGTGAGATTTGTTTTTGTTAAATAATTAAGTTATTATTAACCCTATGCTTCCACCAGTAGTCATAGAAACCAGACATTAGTTCTTAAAAGAAACAAGTAAAAATGTTTTTATTATTGTAACATCTTCATTAGGCGGAAACATTTAAGCTGTGTCTAATGAACAGTACTTTCTAGAATTACTACCTTGATCAATATATATATATATATATATATATATATATTCTTTAGGGTGTAACTAAGCCTAGTTTTGTTTCTGATTTCTCTTATCGCCAGTTTTGTATTATCTGAATATATTCCAAGTTAATATACTCGAATATTAGATTAGAACTTTCTTAATCTAATAATAAAAGTGTCTTTGTACTTGCCTTATATTAAATACTATATATATATTCTTTTTTAGGATGTCAGGTCTTCACCAAGCGGCATTAATGTGCCAAACATCAATAATGCATATTTTGTTAGATAACGGAGCCAACGTGGACATCAAAGACAACAAAGGTACAGTATTGTTGTAAAATAAATATTGTTAAACTGTTATAAATACGTAATTTTGCGTGTCGTAAACTTTAATGTTAGGACCACTGGGGGGTACGTCTTAACATCCATATTTGCATATCATTTTCATTTATTATTACAACGTTATTATTTCCTTTACATTCGTTAAATGGGTGTTATAACATGCCACTTTATTGACGTCACTCAGCTACTTCGACTACGCTGAAGTTGTTGTTATGGAAACCGTGAATATGATTTTGGGTGAGCTACATGTAAGTTGAAGCTAAAAAAACATAAAACTGGGAAAACTTACATAAAGAAAGTTAGGAATTGTAGGGAAAAACTGGTGGAAAATAATAATACAAGTCAATGGTTAGGACTATTATATGTTTTAACATTACATCATTATGACAAGTATAATTGTAATCATGATTCGCCAAATCGTAAAAGGTGTTCACACCATAACAATTGTTTTTATAACAAATGGTTTACACGAATAGTTCAGACCCCTGCTGTGTTTGATGTATGTATCCCAGCCGGCCTGAGGAGCTCTGGATTGAGCGAAACGCGTCGTCGGCAGTGGATATGACAAGTATAATGTTATTATACACTTTTATAATTCTTGAAAAATATTGTTGCGTCAGCGAGGTCACGTGACTAGTGTCACGCCACGTTTCTAGAACTATCTTGTTCCTTCGTGAATGCCCTAGCATTTACTAGATATGTGTTTGTCTGGTATATATATAAGACGCTCACAACGTGACAACAATGTGTGTGTAGGTAGTGAGTAATTGAACTGCAGTCAGAAAGTATTGTTGAAGTTAACGTTCGTTGTTAAAACGTTTGTTATAGAGCGACTGTTGAAAATAAGTGTATCGGTAAAGTTATATTCAAAAAGAATAAACCAGTTTTATTAACTAAGGACTTGTATCGCTAAAGTTTCGTCGGAACGAAGTTACGGAAAATCAATTAACGACTGGAGGCGTAACAATATGTATTGATAACAACGATTGTTATGATGTGAACGCATGTTACGAGCTGGCAAAGCATGATTATAATTAGTTATACTTGTCATAAGACATTACGTTAGGCCTACTATATTTTGAACACTACTTTCTTAATCTAACTTCTTAGGGATTTATTCCAAGCTCATTATGAATATTATAATTCCATAGTATTAGAAATATTTTTTTCAAACATGCTTTATTAGGTCGGTATAATCAGTTGGATAACATAATAGCTTTTTACATAAATACAGGGAAAAGATTATTTATTTAATTAAAGTGATGCCTTTTAACACACGTTAATTAGAAGTTTCAGTTTGACCTTTGTACATGGCTATAGTTGATTATGTATAAAGGTCCATCTGTGATTTTAAAAACGCAAAATTACAACAAGTGTGACAGTTTATATGACAATATCTTCAACACACCTTTTTAAAGTGTTTATATACTCTGTTAACAGGTTTGAGACCCCTACATTATTCATCATGGCAGGGAAAACTAGAGCCAGTAACATTGCTTCTTCGATACAATTCTTCTGTCAATGAACCAGCCAATCACGGTGAAAGTCCTCTTCATCTAGCTTGTCAGCACGGCCACTTGGAAATTGTAAGTGAAGTTTGATGCTGTTTATTTGACCTTTGTCACGTCAGATGTTTCGCTTTTCTGGTTGTGATGATTAACTACAAACAAACAAACCGATATGTGCATAAAATGTTACAAGTATTAAAACTAATTGTGTAAATATGTTTAACGTATTTATAATTTTTGTTACAGTAATTGAAAACTGTTAGTTTTTTTTGCAGTCAGTTTGGTTTCCTCTTACAATAACTGAAAACTGTTACTGTTTCTTTTAGTTAGTTTGGATTAATTACTGCATGATTCCTTGTGACCTTAAGATATAAAATTTATCCCATTGAATGTTTTGAATGTCGATTTAGGAATTAAGACTCTGGCCTGATAACGCTTTGATTTTATTTTGTTTAGACCTGTTACTTGCTTTGCCATGGTGCCAGCCTTACTGTACGAAACGATGAATATAAGACCCCTTTAGATCTGGCCTGTGAATTTGGGAGGCACAAGGTGGTAAAGTATAACTTTTATTAGGTGTTCAGTTAATGCAACATTGACCCTTTTCATACTACTAACACACATTATATAAAACATACAGAAGTGTGTGTTCGGTTGGCCTGGGTAATAATTTAACCAGATCATGATAACTTGTTTATAGAGAATAATTATAATAATATAAAACTTTAGTTAGTTTCTGTTTGTTTGTTGTCATCAGGTGACGGCTGGCTTCGATTTCAACTTTAGTTATTTATTTGCAAAGTATTTGCACAAACAACACTTAACCCGCGTGTTATTTACTAAAACAAGTTAACATTACACTAAATACAATTGTTATGGGCATTCTCGATTTAGTTAGGTGAACAATATGCATGCGCAATTCGTTCAAACCCATATGCTCATCACTTTGTGAACATGGATTCAGACGTTTCTGCGTTTTCAGCTAAGTTTGCCTTCCCCTCAACTTTACATTTACCTTACCGTGCAATAATTTAACTTCGGTTCGTTTCATAGACTACTATAAACACCTTTTAGCTACTTTTTTCTTTACTTCTGGTTTTATTCCGCGTTTTTGTGAGTTACTTTGTTACATCTCGTACAACTCCTAAAACTGTGTCGTACAATGAATGCTCATAACTGTTTCATACTCTGTACACTATTATAAATACCATCACTACACTTTATTATTTATTTTATATGTAGTTTTATTAAATAAAGTTAGGTCTACGTGAGTTTGTTTGTAAAATGTTTTCAAATAGACCAGAATTTATTAATCTAACACATAATACCTACAAGAAAACGTAGCTTAAATGGCGTGCATGGAAACTATAGAAAGGCATGAAAACTATCGGGCTAGTGTTTATTATATTTTTATTTCTTAACCTTCAGAAATAGTTATGGAGCTAACAATCGCTGGTGGGTTTGGTCTTTCCGACTTACTTAGTGGTTAATCACACGGTAAAAAACGTTGCGTTGTAAGGTAACGCAAACACTGTTATTTCACAGCAGCATTAATTATGTTCGCGAAACACAGACTCGTCTGAATTATGACACAATCGACCTTTGTATTTATGATATAGATTTAGGTTTTCTCGCGCTTTGTAACAAGTAATGTGTGGTTTCAAGTTAAAATTGTGTGTTCTACATAGAACAATGAACTTCAGTGTACAACAATGTATTTAATTGTGTGGATTGTATAATATTATGTATTTAAATACATTGTTGTACATTGTTTGTGTGTGTGGATTGTATAAGATTGTGTATTTACATACATTGTTGTACATTGTTTGTGTGTGTGGATTGTATAATATTATGTATTTAAATACATTGTTGTACACCGATGAGATCATTCTCAAGTACAGAAGTTTTATATG